TTTAGAGTTATTAATGTAACTTTAGTTGTTCTACAAACGTTGGGCTATATGTTTTGATTTTTAATACATTCTAAGGCTGCATGATGATACTAATGATCATTGGGAAAAAGTCACATGAAAGGCATGAGCTTTGCTTCGTTTTTCTGCGCAGGCTGCAAACACTTCATCAGTCTCTCATTCACAATTTGACAAGCACTTGATAATGCCTCAAATTTCCCGGCGGCATCCCCTTTGTGTGGTCATAATCCCCATAAAAAAATCCATGCCTTTTGCGGCCAGTGGCCATTGTGCCCTTGGGCTGAATATAATTCCCTTCTCCCCGCTGCGTGCCGAAGCGCCTCTCACTCACATGGCTCTCAGTCACGTGATCGGGGTATTTCTCAAAGGTTACTTTGGCCCCGTGTAGCTCAGTTGGTAGAGCATGGCGCTTGCAACGTCAGGGTTGTGGGTTCGTTTCCCACGGGGGGGCCAGTATGAAAAATGTATGCACTCACTAACTGTAAGTCGCTCTGGATAAGAGCGTCTGCTAAATGACTAAAATGTCACATGTAAAGACAGACATCGGGGGCGCAACTGCGCGCGTCCTTAACCAATTCCGAGGCGCATATTGAAGATATTGGAAGAACTGTCCACATGTACTTTTCGTCAGCCAACAAGATGAGTCGGCCTAACGAACAGCAAAAGCACTAGCCTACGTCAATCTACTATCCCCCATAGTACAAAAGATGACCTATTCTGTGCAATACATTAATTTTCCAAACATAGTCTGGGACAGTTGTGGGGTGCAATAGATCCCAAATTAATACAACCACTAGCATCAAAAAACCTGTTTTAAGCAATGAGCCTGACGCAACAGATGAGAACGTTTAGCTTAAAATGTTGATATAAACTATTAGGCTATTTCTTCATATTAATAAGCGCAGCAATGCGCACACGGCAGTAGGCTATAAGCACGAATGTTCCATTAGAAGGAAAACACCATTCTCAAAATGACCACAAATGCAATTATGCATGTAATGCTTTTTATTATAAAGGTGCATTTTTATGGTGAAAATTATCTTCCCCAAACCTGTATACCAGTTAGGCTCTAAACCCCTTGTAAAGCGGATTAATGTGCTTCATTTTAAGAAGTTATTTGGCCACTTTAGTTGTGATACAAACTTTATCAAAACATATAGGCCTATGGGCTAGGCTACATGAGGTGTGCGACTATGATTTGAAAAAGTAGCCAAAAAAAAAGCATGCGCTGTTTGCCTCAAGCTGGGCATCATTCACAAGTGATAGGCTAATATTGTCACCCATCACACTATTCTTGATTTAATCTTGTCTTTACATTTACTAAATAATATATGTGTGAAATTTGTTTTGATTTAGAATGGACCATTAGCATGCACCTGTCTTGAAACAGGGCCAGCGGGAAAAAATAAATGTCATCTATGCACTTAAATAGCGAATGGAGGACACTTTTCCCATGGTTAATTTTCATGCCAGCCAGGTAGGCTATACTCCTGTTGTAAAGAGAAGCAATGTGCTTAATATTAGGAAGGTTGAGAAATAAATATAGTAGGCCTAGCCTATAGAAAGCTGATCCTCCTATTTTTAGTAGAGGCCATCACTCTGTTTTCTCACGCAATTGCATAGCCTGTTGAAATGTTGCGCAACATGAGCTCATGGACTCTCATGAAGTGTTTGATTAGATTTCCGATTACATTTGCATTGATGTCAGAGTGATTAGAGGGACAATAGAGAGCTGAGTACCAGGCAGTTAGCAAGTTTGGTAGGCTACTAATGACCAGCAGCAGCATCAGAGCTTGGAGAAGCCTAATTACCGTGACTAAACGGTCACGTGGAATTTGACTGCCATCATGACCCTTGACCGCCGGTGTGGCGGTAATACGGTCACCTCAACAGCCCTAGTCATGAAGGGAACCCCTGCTGTAGGGGTACTATAGTTGGGAAACAGAGCAGAGGGTTGTCCTGGGGTCAGGGGGTTGTCCTGGGGTCAGGGGGTTGTCCTGGGGTCAGGGGTTGTCCTGGGGTCAGGGGGTTGTCCTGGGGTCAGGGGGTTGTCCTGGGGTCAGGGGGTTGTCCTGGGGTCAGAGGGTTGTCCTGGGGTTCAGGGGGTTGTCCTGGGGTCAGAGGGTTGTCCTGGGGTCAGGGGGTCAGGGGGTCAGGGGGTTGTCCTGGGGTCAGAGGGTTGTCCTGGGGTCAGGGGGTTGTCCTGGGGTCAGAGGGTTGTCCTGGGGTCAGGGGGTTGTCCTGGGGTCAGGGGGTTGTCCTGGGGTCAGGGGGTTGTCATGGGGTCAGGGGGTTGTCCTGGGTCAGGGGGTTGTCCTGGGGTCAGGGGGTCAGAGGGTTGTCCTGGGGGTCAGAGGGTGTCCTGGGGTCAGGGGGTGTCCTGGGGTCAGGGGGTTGTCCTGGGGTCAGGGGGTCAGGGGGTTGTCCTGGGGTCAGGGGGTTGTCCTGGGGTCAGGGGGTCAGGGGGTTTGTCCTGGGTCAGGGGGTCAGGGGGTTGTCCTGGGGTCAGGGGGTCAGGGGGTTGTCCTGGGGTCTGGGGGTTGTCCTGGGGTCAGAGGGTTGTCCTGGGGTCAGAGGGTTGTCCTGGGGTCAGGGGGTTGTCCTGGGGTCAGGGGGTTGTCCTGGGGTCAGGGGGTTGTCCTGGGGTCTGGCTCTGGTTAGAGAGAACAGAATCATGGGGGAGCTCCAAGCCCTCCATCACGACTGGCACAGCTACAACTCTACTGGCAAACCACTGCCTTTTCACAGGACAGAGAGGGGGAAGTGAGTGTGTGAGCACCTAAAAACACACAAACAGGTTTTTTTTTTTTTTATGGATCAAAATGGGGCTTAGGTGGCTGGGGTGGCAGTGGGGTGTGGCCAATTTATAGGCCCTCTTCTTGGCATCAGAGACAAACATTCTGCTGTTTTAAAGCTAACCTCCTGCAATTCTACAACTTTTGCCATGGGGCAGAGAGAACATTTTACAGTTTTAACCCCCTAGAGTCGATGTCCGCGTCACCGCGGAAATCGAATGAGCATTATAAAAAAATAAATAATAATCAGTCTGTTTAAGCTAGAGATATGTTTTTTTTTTGCATGGGCTGCGTCTCAATCCACCTGATCTATTTGCTGTGTTGTACCACATCCCTGGTCTTTCTTATCTCTCTCAGAGATTATTAACAGAAAACCAGCAGGCTTAAACTCTAGGGCAGGGGTACTCAACCCTTACCCTACGAGGTCCAGAGACTGCTGGTTTTCTGTTCTACCTGATAATTAACTGCACCCACACCTGGTGTCCCAGGTCTAAATCAGTCCCTGATTAGAGGGGAACAATGAAAAAGCTCAGTGGAACTGGCTTCCAGGTCCAGAGTTGAGTTTGAGGGCTCTAGTCTAGGGGGTTAAATCTACTTTCTTGCAATTCTACACATTTTGTCATGGAACTGAGATAATACATTTCAGTTTTAAAGCAAATTTCCTGCAATTCTACACACTTTGCCAATGGCTTATGCCATCTGAGTGACTCATAACAAAATCGAAATCGGTGCCCCATGCCATGACATTTTTAGAATTGCAGATTCTCCCTGACTGTCTAGTTTTTTTTTTTTTGGGGGGGGGGGGGGGGTGATTGTTAGTACTCAAAGATGATCTCATTAAAGTTTAGGACCATTATATTTTCTACATACTTTCTATCTTGTTGTAGTTGTTTAAGTTTACACTGAAAATGTTTTACCATTACATTTTCTTTCTCTCTAAAATAAATAAATAATCATAATAATGTTGTTTTACTGTTTGGACTTAAGACGGCCCGATAAAAGACTTAGGTCTCCCACCCAATACTTTTATATGCAGAACAAAACCTGCACACACACACACACACACACACACTTTCTCCTTTGACTGGAAGTGTGGTTTTGAGCAACAACGTAACCGTGAAGGAAAGAGTCTGCTCAAACAGCCTGGAAAGAAAAACTGCTTTTATTCAACACATCCTGAAAGAACCTTTCACTGCCAACCGATCTCCTGGAACCGACTGGGAAAAACAGCACATTCACAGATCAGCTAGATAAATCTATCTGCACTAACCTTCTCCTCCACGTCAATAACTTAGCATAACTGTCCGGTCTCAAAATCCCTTAAAATGCTACACAGCCAAAATACTGCTGGCTTGTTCTCTCTCATCACCAACACTTTTTTTGAGAGAGATGAACATTTCCTGGTATTTGTGTCTTAATCTGCTGTCACTACACATACACCCAATCCACGGGGACTAGTGATATTTAGTGCGTGACACAGCCCACAGTTAGAAGGCGTATTGTCCTTGTGCAAAACGTGGTCCTCTCTTCACAATCCACAGAGATACTTTCCACAGATCGTGTGACACTTCCACAGGCTGTGTTCTGTCCTGTGTGAATGTGGCCCTACTGAAGCCCTGAGCCAGAACAAGACCTGACACTCAATAATTGATGTATAGCATGTACATTACAGTACCATGAATCAGTGTGTGTGTGTGTGTGTGTGTGTGTGTGTGTGTGTGTGTGTGTCCTTGAAGCCAAATGAATACTGCAGTGTTTGACAGTGTAAAACCATGGCTGCTAACTGAGCACTGATTTCCTGATATCAGTCTCACTGTCAAACATAAAGGGTATCTAGGACTCATCAAAGATTTATCAAATTCAAAAACACACACACACACACACACACACACACACACACACAACTATAGCCAACAGAATTCAGGTCAGATACGTATTCTTTATGGAAATGGATTTAGTGGTTATAAGTAATCATCTGTAGAAAGGGGAGAAATACGGGGGTATTTTGAATTAATCTACATTTCTAAGCTTTAAACCATCAACATGGGGTACTATCCATTTACTCATCTAGTCTATGTATAAATCTAGTCACTATTCTGTCATCTGCCAAGTACAGTGAGCTCTATACAGGGAAGTCTATACAGGGAAGTCTATACAGGGAGCTCTATTCTGTTATAGAGCTCACTGTATAGACTTCCCTGTGAGCTCTGTAACAGTGAGCTCTGTAACAGTGAGCTCTGTAACAGTGAGCTCTATAACAGTGAGCTCTATAACAGTGAGCTCTGTAACAGTGAGCTCTGTAACAGTGAGCTCTATAACAGTGAGCTCTGTAACAGTGAGCTCTGTAACAGTGAGCTCTGTAACAGTGAGCTCTGTAACAGTGAGCTCTGTAACAGTGAGCTCTATAACAGTGAGCTCTGTAACAGTGAGCTCTGTAACAGTGAGCTCTATAACAGTGAGCTCTATAACAGTGAGCTCTGTAACAGTGAGCTCTGTAACAGTGAGCTCTGTAACAGTGAGCTCTGTAACAGTGAGCTCTGTAACAGTGAGCTCTGTAACAGTGAGCTCTGTAACAGTGAGCTCTGTAACAGTGAGCTCTGTAACAGTGAGCTCTATAACAGTGAGCTCTGTAACAGTGAGCTCCTGGGGAAAGGGCTGTCCAACTTACGGTATTCTCCAACTGAAGTGTCTTCGTTAAGTGGGGCAAAAAAAACAAAAACAGGAAAACAAAAGACACTTAACAAACACCTAAAAACATCTACATTTCCAGCGGTCAAAACGGTTTGAAATGCCGTCGTAATGAGGCCAGTTTCGTGTCGTAATGAAGTCATTTCAACTAGTTTTGTCCACTGGGTTAGAATTTCAAAAAAGCTCAAAGGCTGCCTTTGCACAGGCAGCCAATGTTGATATTTTCCTAAATTATTAGCAAAAGATCTGATCTGATTGGTCATAAGACCAATTAGTGGAAAAATATCAGAATTAGGCTGCCTGTGAGCCTTTGACTTCGACTGTGCAGCAGCCAGGTGTTGTGGTGTTTACCTGCCATTGCTGATCTGTGGAGGGGAGTGTCTGGAGTGGTCGGAGGGTTCAGAGCGCTTGTCAGGGGAGCGGGACCGGCTGCTACGATGTCTGTCATGGGATCGGTTGGAATGGTCGGACGCCACCGAATGGATATCTGAAATGTCTGTTGTTCAAACACACAAAACACCATACTCAACTTGTAGCTCAATTGGTAGAGCACGGCGCTTGTAACGCCAAGGGTAGTGGGTTCGATCCCCGGGACCACCCATACGTAAAAATGTATGCACACATGACTGTAAGTCACTTTGGATAAAAGTGTCTGCTAAATGGCATTTATTATTATTATTATTATTATTATTATTATTATTATTATCTAACTGAACAAAAATATGAAACGCAACATGCAACAATTTCTAAGATTTTACCGAGTTACAGTTTATATAACGAAATCAGTCAATTGAAATAAATTATTTAGGCCCTAATCTATGGATTTCACATGACTGGGAATACAGATATGCATTATATGGTCCTCTGTAGCTCAGCTGGTAGAGCACGGCGCTTGTAACGCCAAGGTAGTGGGTTCGATCCCCGGGACCACCCATACACAAAAAAAATGTATGCACGCATGACTGTAAGTCGCTTTGGATAAAAGCGTCTGCTAAATGGCATATTATTATTTTTATTATTAGATAGCTTAAAACAAAAGGCAGGGGCGTGGATCTGAAAACCAGTTAGTAACTGGTGTGACCATTTGCCTCATGCAGCGCGACACATCTCCTTCTCATAGAGTTGATCAGGCTGTTGATTGTGGCCTGTGGAATGTTGTCCCACTCCTCTTCAATGGCTGTGCAAAGTTGCTGGATATTGGCGGGAACTGGAACACGCTGTCGTACGCATTCAAACTGCCATCGATAAAATGCAATTGTGTTCGTTGTCCGTAGCTTATGCCTGCCCATACCATAACCCCACTGCCACCATGGGGCACTCTGTTCACAACATTGACTTCAGCAAACCACTCACCCACACTGTCTGCCATCTGCCCGGTACAGTTGAAACCGGGATTCATCCATGAAGTGCACACTTCTCCAGTGTGCCAGTGGCCATCAAAAGGTGAGCATTTGCCCACTGACGTTGGTTACGACACCGAAATGCAGTCAGGTCAAGACCCTGGTGAGGACGACGAGTACGCAGATGAGCTTCCCTGAGACGGTTTCTGACAGTTTGTGCAGAAATTCTTCGGTTGTGCAAACCCACAGTTTCATCAGCTGTCCGGGTGGCTGGTCTCAGACGTTCCTGCAGGTGAAGAAGCCAGATGTGGAGGTCCTGGATTGGCGTGGTTACACGTGGTGTGCGGTTGTGAGGCTGGTTGGACGTATTGGCAAATTCTCTAAAACAACATTGGAGGCGGCTTATGGTAGAGAAATGAACATTAAATGATCTGGCAACAGCTCTGGTGGACATTCCTGCAGTCAGCATGCCAATTGCACGCTCCCTCAAAACTTGTTGTGTGACAAAACTGCACATTTTAGAGTGACCTTTTATTGTCCCCAGCACAAGGTGCACCTGTGTAATGACCACGCTGTTTAATCAGCTTCTTGATATACCATACCTGTCAGGTGGATGGATTATCTTGGCAAAGGAGAAATGCTCACTAACAGGGATGTAAACAAATTTGTGTACAACATTTGAGAGAAATAAGCTTTTTGTGCGTATGGAACATTTTTGGGATATTTTATTTTAGCTCATAAAACATGGGACCAACACTTTACGTTGATAATTTTTGTTCAGTATAATATATGCCACTTAGCAGATGCTTTTGACCAAAGCAAATTACAGTCATGCGTGCATAAATTGTACATATGGGTGGTCCCGGAATATGAAAGTACGTTGTTGTGTATTTCAACTTTGACGGGGCTTTCCCTTTCAGCACAATGCATGTACACCCACGACCCTACAGTATTTAGCCTTTTCCAGCATTACGAAACAACACGCACACACACACACACACACACGCGCGCGGCTCGCACACACCTATGTAGTGTCCCTCACCGTCTCTGTCGGAGGCGTTGGCTGATGGGATGCTGTAGTCCATGGTCTTGTTATTGTGCAGCAGCTGTAGCTCTCTCGTCTCTTCTGCACCACCAATCTTCATGCTTGGCCCTTTGAACCATCGCAATCAGCTTTATCTTACGTCTATCAATCGACATGGTTCCTCTGTCACACCGTGCCATTGATCTGAGAGGAAATAACCAATTAGTTACAAATGTTAATAAATAACCTAATTAGACACAGCAACCAATTAGCTTGTCTGTGTGCAGGAGACAGTGAGGAAAAACATTTATTTAGCTGATTACAGAACAATGTGGCTAAAATACCCGTCATATCCCATTTAGCCGATTACAGAACAATGTGCTAAATACCTCATCCCCATGTATTTAGCCGATTACAGAACAATGTGCTAAATACCTCTTCCCCATGTATTTAGCCGATTACAGAACAATGTGCTAAATACCTCATCCCATTAGCGATTAAGACATGTTAAATAGCCGAATTACAGAACAATGTGCAAAACTCCCATTATTTAGCGATTACAGAACAATGTGCTAAATACCTCGTCCCCATGTTTCGATTCAGAACAATGGCTAAATACATCCATGTATTTAGCCGATTCAGAACAGTTAAATCGTCCACATTTAACCCATACGAAAAAATGCTAAATACACGTCCCTGTATTAGCCGATTAAGGAACAATGTGACTAAATACGTCCCATGTATTTAGCCGATTAAAAGAATGTAATACCTCATCCCAGTATTTAGGATTAAAAGAATGTGCTAAATTTCATCCCCATTTTCCTTACAACAATGTGCTAAATACTACCCCCATATTTAGCCAATTAGAACAAGTGCTAAATACCTCATCCCCTGTTAGCCTTCAGAACAATTGCTAAATACCCCCCCATGATTTGCGATTACAGAACAATGTGCTAATACCTCATGCCCATTATTGAGCCGATACAGAACAATGTGCAAATACCTGCCCATTTTAGCGATACAGAACATGTGCTAAAAACCTCGTCCCATGTATTAGCCGATTAAGAACAATGTGCAAACCCATCCCATGTATAGCCGATTACGAACAATGTGCTAAATACCTCGGTCCCCATTAGTAGACGATTACAGAAAGCAAGTGCAAACCGCCCATGATTAGCCATAAAGAAATGTGCAAAACCGCCCATGATTAGCGATTAAGAGAAGGATGTGCTAAATACTAATCCCATGTATTTAGCGATTACAGAAGAGAGATGGCTAAAACCTCATCCCCATGTATTTAGCGATAAGAAAATGTGCTAAAAATCACCCCATGTATTTAGGATTAAAAAATTTTGGTAAAAACCCCCCCCATTTTTTTGGGGTTCCCTTCCTTCCTCCCCCCTTTATTTAATTCAAAGAAGTGTAAATCCCCCCCCCCTGTTTTTTCCCGGGGCGCGTCTTACCCTCCCCAGGTTTAGAGATTTACAAAAAAAGGTTTTCCCTCTCCCGATTCCCCTTCCCCGGGCAAAACCCCCGGCGGGGGGAAAAAGCCATTCGACCCCGGAAGCCCCCTCCACTCCACCTCCCTTCGTCTTTGCTACCAGGAGGGCCGGGCCCCGACCAACAGCCCCAGAAAAAGAGAGGAGAAGAGAGAGAAGAGAAAAGAGAGAGAAAGAGCGAGAGAGAGAGAGAGGGGAGAAGAGAAGAGAAAAGACCCGAGCGAGAGAGAGGAGAGCGAGAACGAGAGAGGGAAGAGAGAGAGAGAGAGCGAAGAGAAAAAGCAGGGGAGAGGGGAGGGGGAAAAAGAGAGGAGAGACGAGAGAGAGAGAATGGGAAGCGGGAGAGAGAGAAAGCAAAAAGGAGAGAGAGGGGGAGAGAACGCTTTACTAAATCTTCTCCCTTTCTCGTCTGATTATATAATATCTCTCTCTCTACTCTCGCAGATCCCTCTCCAAATCTTATCCTCTTCTTCTCCCCCTTCTCTCTTTTCCCCTCCCCTCTCTCTCTCCTCTCTCTCTTCTCTCCTTCTTCTCTCTCTCTCTTCAGTTAAAGAATCATTTGGCTTTCACCCTTCAGTACTACGTCTCCCTCCTGTATGTTTCCGTCCCTGGCCGCCCAGGCTCTGGGGGGAGATGTCCTTCACGAAGATGTGGCTGGCCAGGCGAAGGCCATATTCTGCTTACGGAGTGAACGAAACAGCAACAAAGAGAGTGTTAGCATAGCATAGTATAGCATGATATAGAATGTTAGCACAGTTTAACATGCTATAACATGTTAGCATAGTATAGCATGTTGACAATCGCTCACGTCTGCTAGCCGGTGGTAGGAGGCTATGGAGCTCTGAGAGGGCAGCAGTTGGTAGCAGCGGTTATCACTAGCATCGCCGGGCCTCGGCACGTACCAGACAACAATGCGCGCCTTTGGAACGTCTACATTTTAAACAGTCTAATAAATCAATTTAATATACACACCATGACAAAGAAATCCATTATTTAATTAAGGCAGGTCTTAAGAAACATTACGATACTATTTATTTTTCCTTCAAAAGAACAGAATAGCATATTTTGAGTTTAACGTTACTGTGCATAGTAAGCTTATATTCCCCTGCCATTTAAATCACAGTCAACACACATATATTTTATAGTAAAAATTAAATAGAAAGTATATTTCCCCGAAACAAACTATTGCTGAGTGTATTGCGAGTGCTCACGTGTGAAACGTGTAGAACAGCAGTTATTCTACAAAAAAAGTGCTATTCTGAAACAGAGCCCATCTGCTCACTATTGAGAGTTGTTTTGGCGCTGTACTCCAGCACTTTGGATTTGAAATTATACAATGACTGAGGTTTAAGTGCAGACTGTCATCTTTAATTAGAGGGTGATTTCATCCATATCGGATGAACAGTTTAAAAATTACAGCACTTTCTGTACATAGTCCTCCCATTTTAGGGGACCAAAAGTATTGGGACAAATTCACTTATACAGTATGTGTATTAAAGTACTAAAAAGTTAAGTATTTGGTCCCATATTCCTAGCACGCAATGACTACATCAAGCGTGTGACTCTACAAACTTGTTGGATGCATTTGCTGTTGTTTGTTTTGGTTGTGTTTCAGATTATTTTGTGCCCAATAGAAATGAATGGTAAATAATGTATTGTGTCATTTTGGAGTCACTTTTATTGTAAATAAGAATATAATGTCTTCTACATTAATGTGGATGCAACCATCATTACGGATAATACTGAATGAATTGAGAATAATGATGAGTCAGAAAGTTACAGATGCACAAATATCATACCACCCAAAAATGCTAACCTCCCCTGTTATTGTAATGGTGAGAGGTTAGCATGTCTTGTGTGTCCGTAACTTCTCACTCAGCATTATTCACGATTCATTCAGTATTATCCGTAATCACGGTAGCGTCCACATGAATGTAGAAGTGTTTAGAAACATATTCAAGCATTTGGGTGTTGCTCTTTGTAACATTTGGAATTCATGAATTATGATAATTTGTTTGGGTGGGAAGGGGAATAGAGGGGTAGGAAAGCGATGTACGTATTTATCATGAAAGAACAATTGTCAAATAAATATTTAGAATGCAGTGACTTTTATTATTTTATCATTTGATTTAGTTACTCGCCTATTCGATCTTGTTTAGCATGTCGATTTTGTCTACCCCCACCGAATGTGTTCATGACACGCAGGTTGGGATACCAAGGCCAACTGTGAACCAAGTATATTAATTTGGGGACAGGTCGAAACACATTTAGCTAGCTTGCTTTTTCTAGCTAATTTGTCCTGGGAGATGAACATGGGTTGTTATTTTACCAGCAGTAAAATACGGTCCCTTTTCTTGTTGTAGCTGGATCTTTGTGGAGTTTTGACCCATTTTGGGTCGCACGGAATTGTGTGTTCTCCACTGCGGCCATTTTGGGTCGCACGGAATCGTGTGTTCTCTACTGCGGCCATTTTGGGTCGCACGGAATCCTGTGTTTTCTACTGCGGCCATTTTGGGTCGCACGGAATCGTGTGTTCTCTACTGCGGCCATTTTGGGTCGCACGGAATCATGTGTTCTCTACTGCGGCAATTGATCCGCAGATGAATACCTGGTTTTGTTTTTCTTTGATCTTATTTGATTTGTTCTCGCCTTTGTTTATTCTTCTTCTTCTGTGGATTTTAAAAACGGCAGTAACTTGGTAACCAAGCTTAAAGGTGTATTACCGCCACCCACTGGACTGGAGTGCGGACGTCGTTCATCTTTCAATCACCCGGGTGGGTATATGCTTGTAAAAACCAATGAGTAGATGGGAGAGGCGTCAAAATGTCTAAAATGGAACCAAGTTCTGTTTTGGCGCCTGGCTACGCAGACGCGCGCGAGCAGATTGGATGAGATGATTGAATAATATGTAGGTGTACATTTATTTTTGCAACGGTCGCACACGCAACGTGGGCGGTCTGATCAGCATGTTATTCTTGGAAGACATAAACATCGCTTTTATTAATTAATTTATGTGCATGTACACAGTACCAGTCAAAAGTTTGGACACACCTACTCATTCAAGGTTTTTTCTTTATTTGTACTATTTTCTACATTGTAGAATAATAGTGAAGACATCAAAACTATGAAATAACACATATGGAATCATGTAGTAACCAAAAAAGTGTTAAACAAATCAAAATGTATGTTATATTTGAGATTCTTCAAATAGCCACCCTTTGCCTTGATGACAGCTTTGCACACTTTTGGCATTCTCTCAACCAGCGTCATGAGGTAGTCACCTGAAATGCATTTCAATTAACAGATGTGCCTTCTTAAAAGTTAAATTGTGGAATTTCTTTCCTTCCTAATGCATTTGAGCCAATCAGTTGTGTTTTGACAAGGTAGGGGGGGGTATACAGAAGATAGCCCTATTTGGTATAAGACCATGTCCATATTATGGCAAGAACAGCTCAAATAAGCAAAGAGAAACGACAGTCCATCATTACTTTAAAAGACATGAAGGTCAGTCAACATGGAAAATGACAAGAACTTTGAACGTTTCTTCAAGTGCAGTCGCAAAAACCATCAAGCGCTATGATGAAACTGGCTCTCATGAGGACAACCACAGGAAAGGAAGACCCAGAGTTACCTCTGCTGCAGAGGATGAGTTCATTAGAGTTACCAGCCTCAGAAGAAACCACTACTAAAGGACACCAATAAGAAGAAGAGACTTGCTTGGGCCAAGAAACACCAGCAATGGACATTAGACCGGTGGAAATCTGTCCTTTGGTCTGATGAGTCCAAATTTGAGATTTTTGGGTCGACCGCCGTGTCTTTGTGAGACGCGGTGTGGGTGAACGGATGATCTCCGCATCTGTGGTTCCCACCATGAAGCATGGAGGAGGAGGTGTGATTGGGTGGGGGTGCTTTGCTGGTGACACTGTCTGTGATTTATTTAGAATTCAAGGCACACTTAACCAGCATTGCTACCACAGCATTCTGCAGCGATACGACATCCCATCTGGTTTGCGCTTGGTGGGACTATCATTTATTTTTCAACAGGACAATGACCCAACACACCTGGTACTGTATATCCCAACTAACCCTAACCCCGACTAGACAACATATATTGAAAAAATATATAAACGCAACATGTAAACTGTTGGTCCCATGTTTCATGAGCTGAAATAAAAGATCCCAGAAATTTGCCATATGCACAAAAAGCTTATTTCTCTCAAATTTTGTCCACAAATTTGTTTACATCCCTGTTAGTGAGCATTTCTCGTTTGCCAAGATAATCCATTCACCTGACAGGTGTGGCATATCAAGAAGCTGACTAAACAGCATGATCATTACACAGGTGCATCTTGTGCTGGGGACAAAATTCCACTCTAAAATTTGCACAATGATGTCTCATGTTTAGAGGGAGCGGGAATGTCCACCAGAGCGGTTGCCAGAGAATGTAATGTTAATTTCTCTACCATAAGCCGCCTCCAACGTCGTTTTAGAGAATTTGCCAGAATGTCCAACCGGCCTCACAACCACAAACCACATGTAACCACGCCAGCCCAGGACCACATCCAGCTTCTTTATCGTCTGAGACCAGCCACCCGGACAGCTGATGAAACTGTGGGTTTGCACAACTGAAGAATTTCTGCACAAACTGTCAGAAATCATCTCAAGGAAGCTCATCTGCGTGCTCGTCGTCCTCACCAGGGTTTTGACCTGACTGCAGTTCGGCGCCGTAACCGACTTCAGTGGGCAAATGCTCACCAACGATGGCCACTGGCATGTTGGAGAAGTGTGCTCTTCACTTATAAATCCCGGTTTCAACTGTACCGGGCAGATGGCAGACAGTGTGTATGGCATTGTGTGGGCGAGCGGTTTGCTGATGTCAATGTTGTGAACAGAGTGCCCCATGGTGGCGGTGAGGTTATGGTATGGGCAGGCATAAGCTACGGACAACGAACACAATTGCATTTTATCGATGGCAATTTGAATGCACAGAGATACCTTGACGAGATCCTGAGGCCCATTGTCGTGCCATTCATCCACCCGCCATCACCTCATGTTTCAGCATGATAACGGACAGCCCAATATCGCAAGGATCTGAAAAAGTCCCAGTTCTTCCAAGGCCTGCGTACTCACCAGACATGTCACCCATTGAGCATGTTTGGGATGCTCTGGATCGACGTGTAGGACAGCATGTTCCAGTTCCCACCAATATCCAGTAACTTCACACAGCCATTGAAGAGGAGTGGGACAACATTCCACAGGCCACAATCTACAGCCTGATCAACTCTATGAGAAGGAGATGTGTCGCGCTGCATGAAGCAAATGGTGGTCACACCAGATACTGACTGGTTTTCTGATCCACGCCCCTACCTTTTTGTTGAAGGTATCTGTGACCAACAGATGCATATCTGTATTCCCAGTCATGTGAAATCCATAGATATTAGGACCTAATTTATTTATTTCAATTGACTGATTTCCTTATATGAACTGTAACTCATAAAAATCTTTGAAATTGTTGCATGTTGAGTTTATATTTTTTTTCAGTGTATATCCAAACTAACAGTAACCCCGACTAGACAAAATATATCCGAACTAACCCGTAACTCTAACCCAGACTAGACAACACATATCCAAACTAACCCGTAACCTTAACCCCGACTAGACAACACATATCCAAACTAACCCGTAACCTTAACCCCGACTAGACAACACATATCCAACTAACCCGTAACCTTAACCCCGACTAGACAACACATATCCAAACTAACCCGTAACCTTAACCCCGACTAGACAACATATATCCCAACTTTGTGATGCTCACCTTCATTCTTTCGGGACTTGACGAGGGTGACTTTGGCGGGCCGCGGGGGCTGGTTGAGCGAGCGCCGGTCGGAGCGCGGGGAGAGACTCCTCTCCCGTGAGCCGCTGCGGTCACGTTCTCTGTCCCGGTCCCGCCTTCCGGTGCTCCTCCCGCTGCGCCGGGCCGAGGCCCCTCCCACGCCGCTGTAGGCACTGGGGCCGCTGCGTACGGAACGCGTCTCGTATATCTCCTCGTCGTAGCTGTCCTCCTCATCATCCTCCTCATCATGCTCCGACATGGTCTCCCTCTCCCCCAGCCGACCCATGGGCACATGCACCTTCCGCTTCCGTCTGATCGTCTGAAGAGGAAGAAGAAGACAACTTTAGCCCAATGTCACTAGATTACACCCCAATTTCTTTCCCCCATTTCTTCCTTGTAATCTCTAACTCTGTCCCTCCCTCCCTCCCTCTCGTGACAAGACATTAGCCCCATAGAGACAAAATCTAATACATAATAATTGTTGTAATTTATTCTGTGGTAAGCCCCCTGTCACGACATTACAACCCAAACTCCCAGTTCTCTCTCTGGGGCATTCCATGCCCACTGGAAGTGCTAAGATATAACCCCCAGGTTTTAGCAGATGACAGGTTAGTCCCAAGCGTGCTATGCTCCAGGTATTAAGATGAAGGAACTGCCCAATTTACTTTAGTAACAGCTGGATTCTATCAGTCAGTCAGTTGTGTCATTTTGTTTATATTTTACACCTTGTTTTGTTGGGGCGACAAAACAAACCCAGGCAAGACCTAATGTAAACAAACCCGGGCAAGACCTAATGTAAACAAACCCAGGCAAGACCTAATGTAAACAAACCCGGGCAAGACCTAATGTAAACAAACCCGGGCAAGACCTAATGTAAACAAACCCAGGCAAGACCTAATGTAAACAAACCCAGGCAAGACCCAATGTAAACAAACCCAGACAAGACATAATGTAACAAACCCCAGACCAAGACCTAATGTAAACCAAACCCAGGCAAGACCCTAATGTTAAAACCAAACCCGGGCGGCAAGACCTAATGTAAAACAAAACCCAGGCCAGACCTAAATGTAAAACAAACCCCCAGGCAAGACCCAATGTAAACAAACCCAGACAAGACATAATGTAAACAAACCCAGACAAGACCTAATGTAAACAAACCCGGGCAAGACCTAATGTAAACAAACCCAGACAAGACATAATGTAAACAAACCCAGACAAGACATAATGTAAACAAACCCAGACAAGACCTAATGTAAACAAACCCGGGCAAGACCTAATGTAAACAAACCCAGGCAAGACATAATGTAAAGAAACCCAGACAAGACATAATGTAAAGAAACCCAGACAAGACATAATGTAAAGAAACCCAGGCAAGACCTAATGTAAACAAACCCAGACAAGACCTAATGTAAACAAACCCAGACAATACGTAATGTAAACAAACCCAGACAATACGTAATGTAAACAAACCCAGGCAAGACGTCATAACGTCCTCTTCCTGATAGTTCTGAAGCGGCCGCGACGCTGGGCCACCTTCCTTTGATCAGTGTCAGACAGCTACATTTTCTAAATTAGCTAGCTAGCTCGCCAGTATTCTAGTTACAACAAGCATATGCTACTGTATTATAAAAAGAACAATTTACAAGTCAGCAATGAACATTAGAGCAGTAAAATGTAATTCTAATTTTTTCATAGACAACAATATAATGCAGTAACAACGATAGCGTCATAATCTGCTTCTCCTGCAGCGCAAACACTTGTCTGGAAAAGTCAACCCTTAGAAATAGCCTATAGGGTTAAATTATAAAATAAGTAGGCCATCAAAAGGATAGTAAACTCAACATCCAAGATGAAAACAATTAGCCTGCTAACAACTCCAGCAAAGTTTCAGAGTAAGTGCATGAACAGTTTATTTGGCTGTGTAGTAGGTCTACACCACCGGTATGAACATTTAGCAATGCGCGTGTGGGCTCTATTGGCTGTTTTCTAGCTAGCTCGCTAACTAGCTTCACTTACCAGCAGTAGACAGCTAGCTGGCTTTCGTTGATGATCAGACATTGGCACTGTCCACAGCAGCATGTGGGCACTATCACTAGAATAGCTGTGAGTGACGAGTCTTAGCAAATTGGAAATATTCCCAATCCCTTGCTGAATGAAAAATCACCACACAATTTCCATTTTCATTCCAAAACTCATGCTAGCAACAGAAAACTCAAAGAAACTTTGTGACATTCCCGCCGGTGATTTCAAATCTGCACTGCTGTGCATCACAGCTGTAGCACAGACAGACAAACAGCCAGGAGCCAATATATGAACCGTTACCACAAGGATTTGTCAGCTAAATTACACTTTTATTCCATATCACTCAACTCTCATTTCTGAGTCTTTTTTTCAAATAAGAGCGATATAGATCAGCCTATTTGTATTGTTGATGTGTTGCTGTAGTCGTGGATGGATCAGAGGAACAGATAGGCCTAGAACGTGCGTGAGAAAATGATCAATAACATAGGCTATGCATCATAATTACCTGGAGAATTCCATAAAACACAATTAAGGATAACTTGTTAAAACGTAATTTGTATCACTTTGAAGTGACACAAATGGCAAATTAAGCTTTCATTGATCAATTTCGAGATATATTAAACAAACAAAAAATGGCGATGTTTTTATTTTTGACTTACTGAGTCTGGCTTTAACATAGAACTTTTTAAATCTTAGGTTCCTCAAAATGATACTCACAATTTTTGCATTCTTGCCACTTTTCCGTAGCTGCTGGACTGCGTATGCATGCTCCACGTTGTCCATGGAGACAGCGTTGACCATCGTGACTCTGTCATTCTCCCTGGGAAGGCAAGGAGGAGAAAGCAACTTGTAAAACAATGTAAACAATGTCTTTGTAAACAACCAAATGTTAAAAAAAAAAAAGTGTTTATTTAATACTATAATTTTGCACCATCCATAGCATCATCTATGAATTTGAGAGAGGTTACATTTTCTCCAAGCCCATGTGTGTAATTCATCCCAAGAGAAGAGAAGAGGATCTTACTGCAGTAGGCCCTCGGCTGGACCTCCCTTCAGGACGTCTGAGATGACGATGGAGGTCTCACCACTCTGAAAATGAGGGTTATCCCGACCTCCCGAGATGGCTATCCCAAAGCCAAACCCTGGTGCCTGCACAGAGATGGAAAATGGCATGTTAACTGGCTACCCTGGTGCCTGCTGATACAGAGACCCAGAGAGAGACTCAGGAGACTAGCATGTGACGTCAGAACACAATTGTATTCACCACAAAGAGAGAGTGAGGGAAGGAAGAGAAAAAAAGAAAGAAAAAGAGAGATACAGAAGAACTATAGCTAAAGAGAGCGATCTATAAAATCTCCAATGGCCCCCCTTCGCTAGGTTTTTAAAAAAAAAAATTAGAACAAAAACTTATTTTTAAATTTTAAATTTGCCTTAAATAACATTACAATAATGTATTAATCCACTTCTTTTCCCCTATCCAAGTTTTTCACTACTTTCCCCTTTTTACTATCTTATTTCCTCCCGTTACTAGCTTTTTTCTATCTTTACATTCCTGATAATTCTTTCCCTTTTACCTTATCTCTCCTTACATATCCTTTATTTTTTTTTTCCTTTTTTTACCCTTTCTTTCTCTCCCTTTTTAAAACCCCCGGGGGGCCCTTTTTTTCTCCTTTTTTTCCTCCTCTTTTTTTTCTTCCCCCCCCATTTTCCCTTTTTTCTTCTTTGTTTCGTTTTTCTTACTCCCTTTTGTTCTCTCTCGCCCTTTTTCTCTCCTTCGCCTCTCCCTTTTTTCATTCCCCCTTTTCTCCAATTTCCCCCCTCCTCCCCCTCTCCTTCCCTTCCCCTTTTCTTCCTTCCAGAAGAAATTTTCCCTTTTTCCCACCTTTTTATTCCTTCTTTCTCTTTTACTTTCATTTACCGTCCCCCCCTTCTTCCCTCCGTTCCCCCCCCTTTTTCCCTTTTCTTTTCTAGGGTCCCCTATTGTTCCCCTTCCTTACGCCCTTTTCTATGCCCACACGAAAATTAACCTTCCGACAAAAATATTTTCAACCAAAAAATCCTTGGGGGGGAATCAAAGAGTAAAGGGGTTTTAAAATTTTAGGGCCAAGGGGTTATAAACCAATCTTTTTTTAATTTCCCCCCCCGGGTTCCCCGGGTTTTTTTTTTTTTTAAAAACCCTTTTTTTCCCCCAAAAAAAAGGGGGCCCGGATTTTTCAATTTAAAAAAAATTTAAACCTTGTTTAAAAGCATCCTGCTGGGGGAAAACCCCCCCAAAAAGGGGGTTTTTTTTAACCCGGGGGGGGAACCCCAAAATTTTTCCCCAAAATTTTTTTGGGGGGGGGCTTATTTTAAAAAAAAACTTTTAAAAGGACCATCCTGCTGTGAACTAAAGTCTGAGGTAGACTAAGTGATAACCGCATAACATAGCTACCTTGCAACCGTTTATCCTCTTTCAACAGTAACATATAGTGAGATAAGAGTTATTTACAGTTTCTACATTAGGTGAAGGTGAAATGGACAGACAAGGAAATAGGAGGAGTGCAGGAGTGGGGATGGGACATGACAGACGGTGATTTGTATTGACAATCCATGCTTGTTGTGTTCATATGCCCGACCCTGGCCTGTACGGAAGGTCAAGTTGTGTCCTTGTGCTCTACAGCCTGGTGGAAGAACCATGAACACTTTTAAGGGCAAAACAGACAGTGTCGACGAATGGTTAAAAGCGGCGTCCTATCACATCGGCCATTTTCTATTCATTTCAAGACGATTTTACATGTTGAATCATAACCGTTCGTCGGGCACCCAGCAGGTGATCTACTGCGCATGGCCAACGTTCATTAAGGTGTGTCTTGTCCTTCACACAGAGGAGAACCCTGTGACACGTACTCTTTCCACACATCTATTTTACCTGGATCATGTTCATTAGGGTAAACGTTTAACATTTTGCAACGGGAAACAAAAATGCTTGTTTCTTATTGGACAAGTCCCGGTAGTCCCTCCCCGCTTCAGTCAGTTTTATTCCATTTGGTGCCTAATGAACAAGGTCCTGTTATTGTGTGTTCAGTGAGCATACTGTACTTGTACAGCTGGCAGCATGCTGACTAGTGGAGTGGAGGCAGGAGAAAAATAAAATGGAGGGAAGTAGCACAAAATGGAGGGAGGCAAGGGCACAGATAGAGGAGAAGGTGCTTCAACCATCACACAGACAGAGGAGGGGGTGAAGAGAGAAAGGAGAGGGAGATCGAGAGCGCTCATATACAGAACATATCTGAGCACGTTTTGAGTTTAAATGTAGCCAACTTTTTATTCACCATAACAGGAAAATGAACGCGTTAAATTAAGTATGGCAAGCTGCTAAATTACTGTTGTGAATGTGAAGAAATGAAAGCAGTGCATTTCTGTCGGATTTAGAGCTTGCTCTCACACGTCAGGTTGCCATGACAAAACAACGATTGCAACAACAGGGTCAAAGTTGAATGTCTCTTGCTCAGTGGCGGCAAGCATGGTGATATAAAAGGCGATTGCCGACAAGAATGTGGAAAAAATGTGTCTGTTTGAAAGGGGACCATATAAACATTGCCCTTTTTTGCTGTTGTTGTCAACATACCACAAACCCTATGTGAATTAGGTAATACAGTGCATTCGGAAACCTGTTTTTGCTTTGTCATTATGGGGTATGATGTGTGTAGATTGATGATGAAAAAAATGCATTTAAACAATTTTAATCAAAAATCAAAAAAGTCAAGGGGTCTGAATACTTTCCGATTGTACTGTAGTGAGAGGGTGATAGAGAGAGGGGAGAGGGTAAGAGGGGGGGTTGGAGAAGGGGGGGTTAGAGAGGGTGATAGAGAGGGGTGATAGAGAGAGGGTGATAGAGAGAGGGGTAGGGGTTAGAGAGAGGGGTAGAGAGAGGGGGGTTAGGGGTTGTTGGGGGGGTTAGAGAGAGGGGTAGAGAGAGGGGGTAGAAAGAAGTTTTTGAAGAGAGAGACAGAGAGAGGACAATTTAGAGAAGAGAGAAAGGAGAAGGGAGAAAATGGAGAGAAGAAGAAAGGGAAAGGAGAGAGAGGAGAAGAGGGGTAAGAAGACAAAGGGGAGAGAGACAAGAGGAGAAAGATAGAGAGGAGAGAAGGTAAGAGAGAGAGGAAAGGAGAAGAGACAAGGAGAAAAGACAAGAGAGAGAGAGAGAAGGAGAGAGCAGAGGAGACATTGGAGGAGAGAGAGAGAGAGACATGGAAAGAGCGAGAGAGAGAGACAAGGGGAGAGAGAGAGAGAGGAAGAAGAGAGCAAGACAAGGACAGAGAGAGAGAGAGAGACAAGGAGAGAGACAAAAGGAGGGAGGGAGAGAGCGACAAGGAGGGAGAGAGAGAGAGAGACAGGTATCCTATGTACTACCCACCCTGTGTAGAGTTACTGTGTGTTGTTCCCATATGACGGTCTCCTCCATTGCTGCAGTCTGTAAAAAGAAAATAAAGTTATTTTCATCATCACTCCAATTAGTGTCAGTAGCCCCCAGGCTTTAGACGCATTCATTTAGGAAAATAAACTTTCCAACCTCAATATCTAAAAATACATTTCAGAAACCCCCAAAAAATAAACCACACACAATTGTGCCAGTGTTTTAGATGAGCCTATCATGGATCGGCTTGTGGAGCTACATCCTCTGGCAGGGATGTAGCTCAGTTGATAGAGCATGGCGTTTGCAACGCCAGGGTTGTGGGTTTGATTCCCACGGGGGGCCAGTATAAAAAAAAACAAATATGTATTCCCTAACTGTAAGTCGCTCTGGATAAGAGCGTCTGCTAAATGACTAAAATGTAAAAATGTAAAATGTTGTGACGGATTAGTGGTTTTCCTTGTATCAGGGTTCATACACATTTTGACAGATGGAATTTCATGACTTATCCGTGATTTTTAACCACATTTCCATGACCAACAATTGGCGGCGTCTCTATGTACGTATAAAAAAAGTAAGTGTAATGTGGTATCGACACTGGGAGGCCGCTCTCTGATCCCATTTACCATCTCCTGTCGTCGAGCAAGGCACTTAAACGCCACAAAGTAGAATACCTTTTAGGCAACTGTATAAAACACGTAGTCAACCCTCAGTCTGGAGAGCTGCTGGGTGTGCAGGCTTTTGATCAAGCCCTGCTCAAACACATCAGAGACAGTTTATCAAGGTCCGGTTGAGCAGCTCATTTCTAAAAAGTGGTTTGTTAGAGGGGGACTGGACTAAAAGCCTGCACACTCATTAGCTCTCCTGGAGGATGGTTGACCACCCTTGATGTAAAACATTGCAACATTGCAACCAAATACATTTCGCTCATTTAATATAGCTCGAATGGCTATGGTAGGCTACAAAGATTTTAATTCACCTGAAGCAAGCCCACAAATCTTCAGGAAATGTACCTTTTCTAGTTTAGTCATATTTATCTTAGCTACAAGTGTTTACTTTGCAGGCTGACTAGTATCTATTGAGTTGCAATGTCCCATACATTGGATGGCCAAATCAACTGGAAGTATCTACAAAACAAGTTTTGAAGCCACATAATCCAAAAGGAGGGCTAAATTTTTTCCTAAAATTAATGTTCACGATTCACAAATTATTATTTTAATTCACATGATTCGATTATTCAAGATTGAATCGAATCTCAACTAATACAATGGCTAAGTAAATAGTTTGTTTCGTCAAATATTATAGTTTAAATTAATTATATGAATCGTTCAAAAAAAGTAAATCAACTTTGAATGGCCTTATTCGCGAGTGTCGGTGGAAAATGTTTTGTGACATGACGAAAACATTAATATATGCTAATAACAGCTAAACAGTTATTGTGAAGTGGAAACATCTAGGAGCAACAACGGCTCAGCCACAAAGTGGTAGGCCACACAAGCTCACAGAACGGGACCGGCGAGTGCTGAAGCGCGTAAAAATCATCTGTCCTCGGTTCCAACACTCCGAGTTCCAAACAGCATCTGGAAGCAACGCCAGCACAAGAACTGTTCGTCGGGAGCTTAATGAAAAGAGCAGCCGCCCACAAGCCTAAGATCACCATGGCAACGCCAAGCGTCGGCTGGAGGGGTGTAAAGCTCGCCGCTATTGGACTCTGGAGCAGTGGAAACGCATTGTCTGGAGTGATGAATCACGCTTC